CTTTGCGGATAGGTATAAACACTTCTGCTTTCCTACACGAAACTGTTTAGTGACTCGATGGTTGCTGATGTTCGTCAGAACCTGTCACTAATATTTACTCACGTTCGTTTTGGATATCCGTCCAAAAAGGAAACAGAACCAAAAGTTGGGTTTGTAGAAACGATATATTCTGAATCTTCCGAAAGGTTGGAAGTGAGTTTGACTATGCCTAGGCTGTTATTTAAGCAACGGCAGCAGAAACCTGGAAGTAGATCTGATCAGTGCAAGGAAAGCGTGCGATACAGAGCTCACCGTGGGGTATTGTATCGGTGCACGCTTTTCGAGCTCATTAAAAAAACGATAATAGTAAAAGCAACACTTAATCCTGGAAATATCCAAGTTGCTATATCTAATAAAGAAGCTTTCCCTGGAAGATGGCTATCGCCAAATAATGGCGATAAATGCTAAATCTCTACGATACACTCAATTGCGTCTGGTGGGGAAGGGTCCTTAAGTAAGAAGGAAAAACAGCGGTATTTTAACCACCTGATCGAGAGGCTAAGTCGCTACTTGATATCCGAACATTGATGGCTCTGACAAGTATGCCACGGTTGTGTAACCATGTCCTGATAATCATCAATTACGCATGGCTGGTGGGAAACTGAACCCGTCCTGTTGCTAATCACCAGTGTAGGGTGGAAGTGCTTCTGGTACGTGATTTGATGATCACGACCAGCTTAAATGGATCTATCAGGAAACTTGGAGAGGAATAAGAGGCAAGAAAAGAAAACTGCCTTTGCGAAACTGTCGGTTGAAGAACCGCTACAACTGTTTGCCTTCTGCGAAATAGCTGGTGTTTCTCTGTGCTCCTTCAAAATGGGTACTCCAACTGCAACCAACAGCTACTATGACGCCCAGATACCTGGAGCTGGTTACAGTGCCTACTTCAAAATGTCACCAATTTCTTTTAGCTTTTATTGGATGCCGGGTTTTCGAAAGTAACTAACTTTTAGCTGCGTTTAGCGATAGGTCCCATGTTTAGGACCAATTGACCACATGAGCGATGTCTTCTTCTAGGTTTGTTCGTCCACCAGATCAAACCACCTTAGGTTATAAGCAATATGGTTGAGTCTATCTTAACGCTGATTATAAGAAAATCTTTTTTTTAAAAAAAGAAGATTATTGCTCATCTTACACTTAACCTGTCACATATGTTGTCTAAAGTTATATACTGACTCCTCATGTGACTCCGTGGCACTCCTGAACCCCAAAAAGTCTTAGATCACCTTCATTACAGAGAACTGTGGTGATCCAGGCCTACACGATGGCATCTACCCTGGAGCGGCGCGTTACAGTTTCAGGACATTAGCGATCAATCAAGTTTGAATGCTGACGTCAATAGCACGTGCATAGTTTCTGAATACACGTC